GGTGGAAAACTGTTGGCCAAACAGCGACTGCATCCCATCAGTTCCGTATTGACAACTGCAGATGTCAGAATAGCTACAGAGGAGACTCCGCTAAACATCACGGATGAAGCAACTATGGATTGCACGTTGAACAAAGGAAACAGTGTAAAGATATACTCTAGTAGGATTGCAAACAAAAATTTATACCAAAATCCTTAGAACATTTGAATGTTGTTCCAAAGTAGTTCAAATTTGCGTTTGTTTTTAACACTCAATTTTGGAATGAATGGACTTTACCATATGAAAACCACATTCCCAGTTAGACATTTGTACATTCCAGAAAAATTTTTCCTTCTGCTCCTTCAAATTTTCTTATCACTGCAGACGAAAACAAGCGGCAATTTCACCCACAAATTAGGCGAACGGCCAGCGATCTCCATGATTGCTGTGTCCTACAGACACAGCTGATCATGTGATGTGGTAAAAGGCTAATCACAACAGCCTTTTACCACGTGATCAGCTGTGTCCAATGACACAGCAGGTCACCTGTAAATACAGTTGCTGGTTATCGGCTGCACTTTCCTCACGTCGTCACAGCATGAGGAAACTACTGCAGATAACCGGCAATTGTCAGAGGATGGATCGACACCAATCATCAGTGCCCAGCAGTGCCGCCAGTCAGTACAGCCTCATCAACGCACATCAGTGAAGGAGAAAAACTCTTAAAATGTTTTGCTCTTTTTTGGTTTATAGCGCAAAAAATAAAACACCCAACGGTGATTAAATACCACCTAAAGAAAGCTCTATAAAAATTGCATATGGGTACAGTGTTGCACGACCGCGCAATTTTCATTCAAAGTGCGACAGTGCTGAAAGCTGAAAATTGGCCTGAGCAGGAAGGGGGTAAAAGTGGTTAAGGCTAGTCCAACACATTCACAATACAGTAGGGCAGGCTACTCACACGTGCAGTTACATACATATGACTTTTTAAAAAGGGACATTCCATTCTCTTCAGTAATAAAAAAGAAACACTTTAACTTCGGGATCTAGGCTACCTTTCTCAGCACTGTTCTGTATATTCTGACAGTGGAGGGTCCCTCCCATCAGAATACAATAGCACAGTGGGGAGGATTCCCCCATTTGTCTTGATCGTGTGGATGGGGACACTGGCTCAGTTTTTTTTTTGTTCAGCCCACTTGCTAAATGGCCATCTTTAGAATATTTTTCAAGCAGAAAGATTCAGAATGTTCTGCTAATGAAGTCTGACCTAAAATTATCCTACAGAACAGTGCAACAAGGTGTGTGAAAGTACAAAAACCTAATGTAAACATTAGGATCACAAGGCAACAAGTAAAATATAATCACAAGGATACTGTAAGGAATCCAGGCAGTCGATACAAGGTGATCTCATGTCACGTTAGGCAGCCATATACCATTTAGACTCAACCACTCCAATTCTCTAGAGCCCAGTCTAAGGGCTCGTTCACACTTGACTAGTTTGCCAAATGCCCCTATAGCGTTTTTCAAGCGTTGGTCCGGCGTTTGCGGAGCGTATTTTAACACTCCGCAAACGCCGCATGCGCGGTTTAATGACGGTTGCTAGGCGTTTGCCGAGCGTTAAAAACACCCCACAAACGCCTATAATGAAGTTTAAATGGTGTTACCGCTCCGCAAACGCCCCGCAACGCAAACGCCGGCTGGGCGTTTGCGGAGCGGCACCATAGACTAGAATAGGAGGCTTCAACGCCTCCTGACTCGACCAGAGGCATCCATTTTGCCACGACGTGACGCTAACGCTCCCATTAGAACAGCACCATGTGCTGCAATGTGCAGAATTGTCCGAGGCATTTGGGAAGCGGTAAAAACGCTTCCCAAACGTCTCTCTGCCGCCTGCACACAACGCTAGTGTGAACGTAGCCTAAAGCACATATCATATGTAGATTACTGACCGAATTTCTGGACTGGGAGTATTTCCTGTGTCAAAATCAATGAAATTCTATTAGGCTCCATGCACACGGGGCGTTTTAATTAACGCTGATAACATTAGCTGTGTGAAGTCACATTAAAAACTGAAACGTTTTTCAGTGTTTTTGTAGTAGCGTTTAGCAGCGTTTTTTTTTTGTGTTTGCCAGTTTTTAGAGTTTTTTGATCAAAGAAAATAAATTTTTTTAGTCAAAAAAGTCCAAAAACGCTCTTTGCCGCGATTTGACACATTTTTCAGCTTTAGAGTGTTTTTATGCTAAAAAACCCCTCTAGAAGCCCACTAGTTCTGGGTTTTTTTTCCAGCCAAAAAACGTTGATTACAGTCTATGTGTGCATGGATACATAGGATAACATGCTGGGGAGTTTACTAGCTGTAGAACAGAATGTCAAAAGCCAAAAACAGCCGCTGTAAAAACATCCAGTGTGCATGAGGACTTACTATTACTTGCCTTATTCCTGGCTCTGGCAGGCTCCAGTGCTTTCCTCAAGATCCAGACAGTCGCTCGGCATCATCACACACAGTGGAGGGCCAATAACCCTTCACTGTACATGAGGATGCAGGCCTGTAAATACAACCAAAGCACCTCAGACAAGACACTGCAGGGGGTCAGTCACATGGATTGAGGGATACACACTGCAGAGGATCAGTCACATGGATTGAGGGATACACACTGCAGAGGTACACTTTGTCCCATTCCAAGAGTTCAGCTTTCAAGAGACCTTTATAACCACATCCTAGTCTAATCTAAATACATGCAGGCAATCTAGAGTCAAAGTACCTACACCAGCTTTCTCTGCTGCAGCAATTTAAGTTTACTATGGAGAGATATCAGCACCACAATTCTGACAGAATATCAACATTTCCAGAAGTGTCAACCTTTCAGCCACCCACAGCTGCTCCCACTGTCACTTTCAATGCTGATCTGATGAGATTTTCTGTAGCTGAAACACTGTAATAAGCTACAGGTGGAAGGGCCAGGAGCTCTTCCTGCTCTCAAGTAATTGCCTGCCCATAAAGGTTTGGACAGACAGCTATCCAGAGAATTGATCGTGGGTGCAATGCTCTGCAGAGTCCTTAACAAAACAAACAAATAAAATGCTATTTTTTTAGGGCAGGATATTGTGATAGGGTCTCTTTAAAAGAGAAGTATGGTTTTTTTGTTAATGTGATGGAACAGACTAAACGCATGTCATCAAGGGCAGTGTTCTATAAAGATCCTGTTCACTGCAACCCTTATCTTTCATGCATTTGATGACCATAGAAGTCAAAATTAAAGTGGAACTTCACTCTCTCAATCAACATGGACTATTTTATTCCTTATGCTTCTAGCATTAGCAAATAGAAAGAAAACGTTTACACTTTTTTTTTTTACATTTCTTCAGTTACTTCCTGATTTCCATGCCAAGGCAAATGATGTCACATATCCCAGGAGCCTTTAGGAAGGGAGGGTTCTCAGGTCAGCCAATGCCTGAGCCAAGGGCAGATGGATCCCAGTAAGTAAATGCTACACGAACCATCTACCCTTACTGGCCACTGCCAGAAATACCAGGGGGTGTTTTTCAAAATGAATTCTCAGCAAAATAAAGCACGGAAACATGATGGATGGGGGAGTTAAATTTGAATATTAATAATTAAATAGCATTTTTGGTTTGTGGTGCAAAGATACAGTGCAGTTGCACTTTAACCACTTGCCTACCAGGCACTATTACCCCCTTCATGCCCAGGCCAATTTTCAGCGTTCAGTGCTGTAGCACTCAATGACAATTGCGCGGTCATGCAACATTGTACTCATATGAAATTTTTATCATTTTGAGACAGATAGAGCTTTATTTTGGTGGTATTTAATCACCTCTGGGTTTTTTATTTTTTGCTAAACAAACAAAAACAACTAAAAATTTTGAAAAAAAAAAAAAAAAAGTTTCTTAGTTTTTGTTATACAATTTTGTAAATAAGTGATTTATCTCCTTCACTGATGTGCGCTAATGAGGCTGCAGTGATGGGCACAGGTAGGTGGCACTGAAAGGCAGCACTGATAGGCAGCTTAGATGGGCACTGATATGTGCACTGGTATGTGGCATTGATGTGGCACTGACAGGTGGCACTGATGGGGCTACACTGATCATCAGTGCCCTGATGATCAGTGTACATGTCCCCTCTGAGGAATGCCGATTAACGGCTCTTCTCTCCTCACGAGCTTTCAGTGTGACACTGCATGAAGAGAGGAATACCGAAAACCGACATTTCCCTATTTACATGCGGTCAGCTGTGACTGGACACAGCTGATCACGACAGAGCCGATGTCAACAGCTCTTTCTGCTGATCGGTGATTCGCTGTGTCCCAAGGACACAGCGCACCACTGGGGGTGTGCGTGGGTAAAGTGGGAGGTCATGTGACGTCCTCCCAGAATGAGAAAACCGCCACCTGTCCGTCATTTCCTTATATGGTGGGCGGGAGGCGGTTAAAGAGGAACTACACTCCCCTCCACTCCAGCAAGGCGATATCATTGAGGTGGTATGAGAGCTTTTGGACAACTCCCCGGGCTTCTTCTGGGTTTTGTTTTGATTGGGGCCAAGATGATATCACACTTATGCATGCACAGGGGTTTATTCATCTTGGCAGATTCCGAAATCATATGTGTGCAGCTCAGTGTACAGTGCACACATGTAAGAAGCTTTAATGCAGAAGAGACAGTACACAGACATAGTATGTCTCCTTTGTATTAAAAGGCCTGTCTGCTTACACATTTTGGGGGGATTAAAGTTCCAGACCTCAGTCACAATGGTACACTCATTTGGCTAAACAGGACAAATGATCCGGGAAGTATGAACAACTTTTATGTCATCCAAATCACTTTTACCTGCATTTAGATGTTCCTGTTTTGGACGCATTTACATGCATTTAGCAGCATGCCTGATCAGATCCTGAACGCACAGAATGTATTTTTCTCTCAAATGACCACATCCAAATAGAGATAAATGCTCAGTGTGAATGGCACCATTGAAAATTCATTACATACATTTGTAAATGTACATTTGTTTAAAGTGGTTCTAAAGGCTCAAAGTGTTTTACCTTCATGCATTCTATGCACTCCTCCCTAATACTCACCTAAGCCCCATCTCGATCCAGCGATGTGCACTGGAGTCTTGGCTATCCCGAGACTCCCTCTTCTCACTAGCTGAGACAGAAGTGGGAGACATGGGCTCTCACTGCTGTCAATTACAGCCAGTCAGCTAACAAGAAGAGAGAAGGGAGGGGCTGAACTGCTGCTCCATGTGTGAACGGGCACACAGAGCAGTGGGTGCCCCCATAGCAAGCTTCTTGCTGTGGAGGCACCCAACAGGAGGGAGAGGCCAGGAGTGCCTGCAGGGGACACGAGAAGAGAAGAACCCAGGCTGCTCTGTGCAAAACTACTGCATGAAGCAGGTAAGTATAGACATGTTTGTAATTTTTGCAAAAAATAAACAAACATTTAGAATCACTTTAAACACATTTACAGGTTTAACAATGCCAAAGTGAATGAGGCCTAAGGCTTAAAAATGTGTATGTTGTCAATTGGGCCACGGGTAACAAGCACAAATCGTTTTTGTACTTTTTTTTTTTTGTAATGGGCAACATGAAAAATGCATGACACATAAAAGCACATGATCATGTGTATTAGAGCCCATTTACACATTTTGGGTTCGTCTTTCATCAAAAAATATGCAATATAGAATTCAATGGAAACGCAACTAAGATGCATGTAAAAAGTAACATATAAGCCATAACTAAAAGACGTGCAAAAAGGCGAACCTGGCTTTAAAGTGACACTAAAGTATATTTTTACTGTCCAAAAATAATCCATACACATCTGTTAATTACTGGTTTTCTACCTCTGTGTAATGTCGTTCATGAGCTCCTGAACCTCTCCTTTTTCTTTTGTTTGGAACAAGTAGTGCACGTTAGTTGTGGTCACGTGTACTACTCAATGCATGCTACACATCCCATAGTCCATTGTCTATCTTGGGAATGAGCAAAAGAAGGTGGCTACATTCCTACATACAGTGCGACCATGGAGAGCAAATATAGCCACAGGAAGATCACAACAGCAAAAAAGGAGAAGACTGGGAGCAACAGAAGGGACGTTTTTGAAGCAGAACTAAAGGCTAAACATGAAAAAATTGCAAACAGCCAGGCTTTTTATTGCAGAAGAGACAGAAGCCTGTTTCCATCCTTTGCAGAATGTACACTGAGCTGCACATGAACAGCTCAGTTTACATTCTGGCACACTGCAACTGACATCACACTGCACCAGCCAATCAAAATGGCCAAAGACCAGCACCTGAAGAACTTGGCTGACAAGCACCCAATCGGTGCTCATTACACTGCAAGGTCTCTCCCCTCCCTGCTAGTCCCCGGGTGTGGTGCTGGAGACAGCCAGGGAGGTGAGGAGGAGATAAACAGCACAATGTTAAAAGCTTATTTAACCACTTCCAGTCCGGACACTTTTACCCCCTTCCTGTCCAGGCCAATTTTCAGCTTTCAGTGCTATCACACTTTGAATGACAATTGTGCGGTCATGCAACACTGTACTCATATGAATTTTTTAGCATTTTGAGACAGATAAAGCTTTCTTTTGGTGGTATTTATGCACCACTGGGATTTGTATTTTTTTTGCTATGTAAATGAAAAAGTCCAAAAATTTTGAAAAAAAAGTGTTTTTCTTAAAAAATTTTGCAAATAAATAGTATTTCATCATAAATCTTGGCCAAAATGTATTCTGTTATATTTTTAGTAAAAAATAAATAAATAACCCAAATTAGTTTATAACCAAAAATTATAATTTTTAAACATTTTTTTTTATATTATTTTTTTTTTTAACATACTGTCACCCTAGCAGTACAGTGTCACCAAAAAAAAAAAAAAAATCATCATCCCCCACAAGTAGTACAGTGTCACCATGGTGACACTGTACTACTTCTGGGGGGTGATGGATTTTTTTTTTTTTTTTTTTTTTTTAACAGATTGCTTTTACACCCATAAAAGCTGTAAAAGCAATCATTTCTCCTTCTCTCTGGCTGCATTCTTGCAGCCATTGAGAACTACTGTGTGAGCTGTGAGTGGTCACAGCTTGTCATATGGTATAAGGATGTTGTGAATAGCCTTGTACCATGTGACCTCTGTGATCATTCACAGATTTCACATGTAGTAAGCAATGATGTCAGAAGTGACATCTTGCTTACTACTCTGCATGTGCTCACTGATTGGCCAATCAGTTATCACATGATCGGGACCTCGCAGAGAGGTCCTGTCTGACGATCGGTGTTCCATTGTGTCCGGAGGACACAGCGGGCACCGGATCGCAGTGCTGCACGCTCCCAGGGAGCGCGCACAAGCAGGGGGCGGGGAAGCAGTTTATAAACGGCCACCCAACCCGTTTATATACAACAGCTGGATGGGAGGTGGTTAAATATGGTTTTGCTTCTTTTTTCCTCATCAGGACCTTGATTTAGTCCGTTGGACAAGTAGTTTTTTTAAAAATGTCCACGCCCCTGCAGCAAACTTTTTTCCCCTTTTGGGATAGAGGTTTGCATAAATAAAAATGGATTGTGGTCAGTGATAGATGGTTTGCCTCAACCCTCTAACTGCTACATCGGCAGGACAACTTGGGCTGTTGAAAACCAGACTTACTGGCTGGATCACCAGGTGGAAAAGAAAAAAAAAAAAAGCCTAAAAAAGAAAACGAATGCAGCCGTGACATCTAAGAATTGGTAAGCTGCAGTATTAGAGATGTCTACTCCATTTGTTTTCTTGACATCTAGCAATCAATGCTCTTCACCCTCCCCTGTTACATTGTATATTTATATTGTGCCTTTGTATCACTTGTGTTTCCCTTGCCAAGAATGAACAGCACCCATAGATGAGTCACACATGGAAGCACACAGATGTACGTGGATATGTGATGACACGAGAAGGGCAGGTTACAGTGTAGTGTGCACACAGGCAGACACGCTCACCAGCCCCCAGTACAAGGACAGTCCGTGGAAACACATTGAGCTCGGTGTACAATACAGGACAGTGCGCCTGCTGGTAGAACTGGCTCTGCAGGAAGTCAGTCAGACCGTCCGGCAGCCTATCCGCGTCCCCCTCAGCCTATGAAATACACCCGCACCCCTCTGCTCACCTTCCTCCACCGAAACTCCGGCCGACACTAACGGTTACACTCGGGATTGGACACTGCAACAAGCAAGAGGTGCGGTCACGGTACTGGGCGTGTCACAGAACAGTTGGAAGGGAGGAGCCAAGAGTTCTTTCGTTCTTCCACAGCACTAGACACAATATGTGGGCGGGACACACGAGACGATTGGCTCTGCGTTTCGTTCAGAAGGCGTGGGCTGCGGTGTTTAGGAACGTCTCGCTCTTACTTTCGAAAACTTTTTTTATTGGTGGGTGAAGCGGAAAGCAGAGTTCGCCGCCCTGTGATTGGCTGGGAGAATAAAATCCACACGTAGGTAGCCAAGCAATAAAGCCATAAACAATGTTGAGTCTTCGACCGACATGTTTGTTTAGGGCGAGAGGAGATTGTCCACGTTGTATACTATTACACCAATGATTGTTTTAGCCCTGATGGTGGCACCAGGAATCGCTTTGTAGCTATTAAGTTGCTCAAAATTCACAGGATTTTTTTTTGTGCGAGCCAGAAGAGGATCTCCCCACCCAGTCTTCTGTACAAGTCTTAGACAGGGGCCTAACCCCAAATCAAGGGGCCTTATGTTTTGGTGGGGCCCCTGGACATCTTCTATAGCAGCTTGCAGTGTCAACTGTAACAATAGATGTCATTATTCTGAACATGATGTAAACCCTGGGGCCTATTCACATCTGTGCGCACCAGAAGTGCATTTAAAAATTGTATTTATTATAGGTACTTATATAAATATATATATACAGTTGCAAGAAAAAGTATGTGAACCCCTTGGGATTATGTGGAGTTTTGCATGAATTGGGCATAAAATGTGCTCTGAACGTCATCTAAGTCACAACAATAGAAGAACACAGTCTGCTGAACATAATACTACACAAACATTAGATGTTGCCATGGTTTAATTGCACATAACATGTAAACATTCACAGTGCAGGGAGGAAAAAGTATGTGAGGCCCTAGCTTAATGACTTCTCTCAGAGCTAATTGGAGCCAGGAGTGAGCCAACCTTGACTCCAATCAGGGTGATGATATTGCATGTGTTGCTGACAGCTGTCCTGCCCTTAAAAAACACACCTGTTTTGGGTTTACTGGTTTCAAGAAGCACTGTCTGATGTGAACCATGCCTCGCAGAAAAGAGCTCTCAGAAGACCTACGATCAAGAATTGTTGACTTGCATGAAGCTGGAAAGGGTTACAAAAGTATCTCCAAAAGCCTTGATGTTCATGTCTCCATGGTAAGACAGACCGTCTACAAATTGAGAAAGTTTAGCACTGTTGCTACTCTCCCTAGGCGTGGTCGTAAAAAATGACTGTAGAGTACAGCGCAGAATGCTGCATGAGGTAAAGAAGAATCCCAGAGTGTCAGCTAAAGACCTACAGAAATCTCTGGCACATGCTAACATTTTTGTTGACACATCTAAAATAAGGAAAACATTAAACAAGAATGGAGTACATGGGAGGACACCACGGAGGAAGCCATTGCTGTCCAAAAAGAATATTGCAGCACGTTTGAAGTTTGCAAAAGAGCACCTGGATGTTCCACAGCACTACTGGCAAAATATACTGTGGACAGATGAAACCAAGATTGAGTTGTTTGGGAAGAACACACAACACTATGTGTGGAGGAAAAAAAAGGCACAGCACACCAACATCAAAAACCTCATCCCCACTGTAAAACATGGCGGAGGGAGCATCATGGTTTGGGGCTGCTTTGCTGCCTCAGGGCCTGGACGGATTGTTGTCATTGATGGGAAAATGAATTCCAGAGTTTATCAAGACATTTTGCAGGAAAACATACGGCCATCTGTCCGCCAACTGAAGCTCCGCAGAGGATGAGTGATGCAACAGGAAAATGACCCAAAGCATACAAGTAATTCAACAAAAACAATGGCTGCAACAGCAGAGAATACGCCTTCTGGAGTGGCCCAGTCAGAGTCCTGACCTCAACCCCATTGAAATGCTGTGGCATGACCTTAAGAGAGCGATTCACACCAGACATCCCAAGAATATTGCTACACTGAAACAGTTTTGTGAAGAGGAGTGGTCCAAAATTACTCCAGATCGTTGTGCAGGTCTGATCTGCAACTATAGGAAACGTTTGGTTGAGGTTATTACTGCCAAAGGAGGGTCAACCAGTTATTAAGTCCAAAGGTTCACATACTTTTTCCTCCCTGCACTGTGAATGTTTACATGTTATGTGCAATTAAACCATGGCAACATCTAATGTTTGTGTAGTATTATGTTCAGCAGACTGTGTTCTTCTATTGTTGTGACTTAGATGATGTTCAGAGCACATTTTATGCCCAATTCAT